CATTCCTAATCGGCACTGGGGTCCCTCATGACTCCAATTTAGGCCCTCTACTTTTCTTAATATTTGTCAGTGATCTACCTCTATTACATCAAACTGCCTCATATATGAACATGATTTTAAAGCTTTTAAGCACATATCCACTATAGATGATTATCTAGATCTAGACGTTTAAAATGACTGTTACGGTTCACAATCCATATGAATGTACTGGGATGCTTTTGCCACAAAAATAATATATATAGTATTGACATTTAACTTTTAATTTACTTTAATTTATTATTTAAGTATAATAGGAATAAAATCTATTAAAAGATCACTTCGTATACTCCGTTTTGGGTAGAAGTTTAATAGGAGATCCATTTCTCATGTTCTGTGAGTTAACTAGAATGAAAAGATACCTTTTATAAGTCAATTGTCAAATTGGAAATTGTAGAAGTTTAACCTTTTATCAAGTATTTCTTTCTTGTTTTGAAGATTCGTTCTGGTCCTCTGTAGATATATTTTCCATTGTTTTCTTAATTAGTTTGTAGTTAGGTTCTAGAAGTCTAACAGAAAATAGAAACGATTTGAATTAGATGAATGGTTTCAGGTTTATTTTCTTTTGTTTATTTACATTTATTCTGACATTATGTCATTCACTTTAGACAGCTGTTTTATGTTTTGAAAAATTCAATAATTAAAACCTCAGATAATCTGGAAATTCTTGGAATTAGGTTTGTAAGAAATTGGCTATGTATATATTTTTATGTTACCTGACATGATTTAATATCATTTCCTATGGAGGTCATTTTAACTTGTTTTATGCATATCCTGCTATCATTACTTTTCTGGTACACCTTCAAGTAGCATGTGCTTTTGAGGAACTTTTTTTTAAGAATTCATGTGCTAGAAAAGAAATCAATTAAAAACATAATTACTTATACTGTTGGTTGGTAACTTAAGTAAACTCGTAAGAGAATTTGGTTTTCAATAACCTAAATAACTCACATCAAATAAGGCCACATTTCATCTTCAGGCCTTTTCCCTTTCTCCTTTTTCTTTCTTTCTTAACTTACGCTTTTCGTTTTCCAGTTTGTATTCTGGTGGTGGATCTTATTCATATATCTGGACATTACTTTGAGACGAGTTAGTTTTATTTGTGGAATCAACTGTTGGATACTACTACTAGACTTAATATACAATTGGTCATTATAAATTCCAGTACAAAAGTGTATATAGAATGACGTTTCTGAGACCCACTTACTTTTAAATTTTTTAAGTGATGTAGTTAAAGACTTTTTCCTGCAAGCAAAACTGCTTCTTTTATAGCATTTTGATGCTGCCCACATTTTTACTCTGTTTGGTGAACACATTTGTTTCGACAATGAACTAAAATGGTTTCGTTGAAAACCAAAAACTAGGAGACAAGCTATTATCGTAGTTAAAAGACAATGCATATTTTTAGAGAAACAAATAATATTTAAGTATTGTCTGATTTTAGGGAACTGTCAATACAGTTAACAGAACAAAACCAGGAGCTTTAGCAGTAGTTAATAAAGCCATTAAATCCATATTTAACAATCCAACTTCTATATTCTTGACTGCCAAAGCAGACGATATTATTTTCAGCGGAGTCGATATTAATTGTAAAGTTACAGATTTTGCTGGAAAAGCGACTTGTATGGAGCTTAAGGAATCTGGAACTTTACTGGAACGTGATGGGCGTATTTTATTTTCATTTTTAGGACTGGTAAGTTTCATTAACTTATGACTTTCCTGCAAGTTGGAATATTAATAAAAATGTCTTTCCGTTTAGAAAAATGGAACTCTTCAAAAAAGAATCAAAGCTCTACGTGGAACGAAGAATTACCATGATGTAGGAAGAATTGTTCAATACAATAGTACAAAAATTATGTCTGTATGGTCTACAAAAGAATGCAATAAAATAAAAGGAACGGATGGTACTATTTTTCCTCCAATGCTAAAGAAAGGAGAAGGACTTGCTAATTTTTCTCCAGATATATGCAGGTTGTTATTCGCTATTAATAATTGGAAATCGATTATTTGACTTTGATTGATTATTTCTTAGTATTAAAACAAAATTAATACTCAGGAATTTTTTTTTTCACCATAACAACCCTAAAAAATTCCGTAAATGTAATTAAATTTATTTTTTTCGGTTTTAGGTCTCTTGTTCCTTTCTGGGTGAAAAAAACTAAATATGACGGTATTCCTGTCAACAAGTATACAGCTTA